ACCAAGATTCGGCTGCGGAGGATAGGGAGAGCGGCGCCTCGCAATACCGACAATCCTCTCCCCCCGCAGCCCCATCACAAAGCATTTGAGTCGCGGAGGATAGGGCGAGTGGCGCATCGCCATACCAACACTCCTCTTCCTCCGCGACTCCACCTCGGCTGCAGCGGTAGGTGGGGAGGACACACCTCTCACCGCAGTCCACCAACACACATCCGAAGTGGGCTTCCCAAGCCCACTCGGAGTGGCCACCTCGGGCTGGCCCTCCACCTCGGACCAGCCATATGGGTTCCTCTTTGTTTCGCCGTGGGTGACCAAGCCACGGCTTCTAACCCCCCCCCGCCACGACAAGGCGGGAACCCGTTCGGGGGGGATTTGGCACGATCCTGACATACCTCTTTCGCCTCCTTTACATCCATTTATCTATGCATACATGCTCGTCGGTTAAGGGTACTCTCTTGTCTGTGAATATAATGGTTTTGCGCTAATTAATGCCTGATTCTATTTAAGTCGCTTTTACTTTTTTTTTAATCTAATGAATATCAGAATCTACACCGATTCACAAAAACAAGTACTTCTTAGAGAAGAAGCCACTAAAACTCTTGGCTTTTTAATGGCATGTTAAACTTTTATTTACAATAAAAAAAATATACAATAATATGTTAAAATGTAGTCAAAAATGGGCAGTTTAATCGCTAAAGCAATTGCTTTTTAAAATCTTGTCCACCGAAGCAACCTTTGGTTGGACAGGATTGTAAAACGACGGGAATTTAAGTGATTTATACTACATTATAATACTATTTAAAACGTTTGTTAACTCAGGGGCTAACGATAGCTATAAATTTCACAGTACGCGAGCAACCCGGGTTCGATCTCTGCCGGCACTAATGAAATTGTTAATTGCCATTTTAAACGCTGATTTACCACGTGCTCGGTGGTGTAGCGAAAGATCGTGGGGAAACCTGGTGAGAAATTCAAAGAAATTCAAAGACCTGTTTTTAAAGGACAGTGTGACAAACGAGCACACAGTCTACCTGATGGTAAGTGGATGCTGTGGTCCATAGACATCTACATTTATCCTCGATTATGAATCAAAATGCAGATGCGTTCCATGTTCCACGGTATCACCCGTGAGGACTAATACCGAATGCCTTGTTTCAGTAAAAAGGGTCTCCGGTTGTCTACACTCACCATATGAAACACAGCAGCATTAAGCTACTATTTTACGCTGGTTTTCTGTGATAGCGTGGTCCTTCCCCGGTCGAGCCGACCCATTCGTGCTACAACTATACTACTAATATAATTGCAGCATGGCTCTACCACGTACGAAAGTCCGCCAAGCAGCGCGGTAGACATTCCTTGTCCTAAAACCCTTTTAGGAATGAGAGATGGCCTATGCCCATGATTGGGACGTATATACGCTGAAACTTCATATAATTTAATAACCTAAACAGGTGATCAAGGCCCCCATAACTTAGTGACATCATACATCTGTCTGACCTTGTCTGACCCTATTACATTAATACAACAAATTATTAGACTTTTCAGTCATCGTGTATAAATCAATATCCTGTCAGGGTAAATAATTTCGCGTTCAAAAAAAATTGTTTTTCGGGATTGTATATGTTACTTACTTACTATGGTTATACAACGAATTGGTCGGCTCGATTGAAGAAAGTCCACGCTCACATGGAACCCCTGCATAGAACACCTGCATGTAATAGCAGTTTAATGTTGCTGTTTTGTATGATGAGTGCAGAGAAACAGAGATCCGTTTACCATAAACGAGGCATTGCATCTTAGTCTTCAGTGGTGACAACGCATCTACATTTTGGATCTACTTAATCGAGTAAAGAGAATAGGAGATATATAATGTAAACATTTTGCGATCAAATTATAATTGCTTTTTTTTTCATTATCGACAAAATGTCTGTACATTGAGTGTTTTAGAACCGTGGTGACTCAGCGGCTAAACGCTCGCTATAAATCACACGACAAACAACCCAAGTTCAATCACCGTCGACACAATTGAAATCGTTAATTGCAATTTTATGTGCTGTTATCCCACGTGCTCGGTGGTGAAGAGAAACACCGTGAAGAAACTTGCATGTCTGTGGAATAAAAACGAATTTCTCTAAGTCATTTAAAATATGCCGACACACAATGGGGCAGCGCGACGAACATTCCCATGTCCCTAAAACTCTCTCAGAAGTGAATGGTGTGCTCAGCAGTTGGTCGTATATAGGCTGTTACTTTACTTCACTTTTATATAGTGACGTTAGGTCACTGTCGTCATCGAACTAGCAATCATGGACTCCAAAAATAATACGTCACTGCTGATCGAACACAAGTCACACAATTTGTAACAACCCGGTGGACACGCAACCGGCAACTTTATATAAAGAACCGCACAAGGTCCGAGCGCAGTCCCAGAGTGAAGTGCGCGTGCGCAGGTTTTCCTCATACTAGTGTGTGTAATTTCAAGATGACACTTAGCGTTCTCGTGAGTAATTTTCATTTTCTCAGACAGATATTATTCATTATACTATTTTTATATACAAGTTCTGTCACATACTTCCTTTAGATAACAGACCGACTTTGATAGACAGAGACTTCCATTTAGCGCCATCTAGACTCTAGCCGCTTCTTTAATATCCATATATTATTTACAAATACATGTTTGTCCTTAGGTACTCTTAATTAAGCCCCAGCACAGTAAATCGCTAATTAACTTTTATTCTCACACAGTATAATAACAATTAGTGTTATTTATATACGTTAAGACGGCTCCACGGCGCAGTGGCTAATCAAAGGGTTGCAGCGCTAAATGACCACGGGTTCGAATCCTGCACGAAACAAGTATTTGTGTGGTCTACAAACAAATGATCCGGGTCAGGATGTTTGTCCTTATGAAATTTATGTACGTAAACTTCCTCCAAGATACAGGTGAAAGTCTTAGTGCTGATTTAACATTTTAAAAAAGTTAAATAAAAAATATGTAGGTAGGACAATATTTAACAAAATGATCATATTTGTTCTAATATCAGTATAACATTAAATATTTTAAGAAACTTCTACTTAATGAATTTATTCTTAATATAAACAAATTAACTAAATATAAAAAAAATCCTCTACGTGGTAGAGCCATGCTGCAACTATATTAATTGTACAGATGTAACACGAATGGATCAGCTCGACCGGAGAAAGACCACGTCCTCACAGAACACCAGCGTAAAATAACAGCTCAATGCTGCTGTGTTTCGTATGGTGAGTGTAGAGAACCGGAGACCCTTTTTACTGGAAACGAGGCATTCCATCTTAGTCCTCAAGGCTGACAACGCATCTTCATTTTGATTAAAGTAAAAAGGGTCCCCACTTTTTACTCGAAAAGGGGCATTCCATTATAGTCTTTAGGGGCGACAACGCATCTGCATTTTGATTATCATTATCGAGGATTGATGTCGATGTCAATAGGACGCAGCAACCACTTACCATAGGTTTACTGTGTGCTCGTTTGTCACCCTTATCCTATAAAAAACTGCCCCCCCCCCTCGGGCGTTGCCTGCATAGTATCTACTGATTAATGTGGCATTATAATTTATCATATTTTTTAAATGTCCAAGTTTTTCAGATAAAATATAGTCCAGATCAATCATGTCATTGCTCTTTATTAGTTTTATTACAATCGATTTTTTATATTATTTATTTTATTTACCACACTAAATTGATTTTAAATTTAAACATATTTATGGCTTATTTCGCAAGGTATGTTTGTGATATTATGTTGACATTTTGTTTTGTTGGGAAACAGTGGTTTCAGATAGCGATCTTGGAACATTTTGGCAACATTTAAAGGCCAGTGCTTGTCGGTGTTCAAATCTAGTTAGAAATTTCTTAGAAAACTTAAAATTCATACTTTTTTGAGGTATACTCAAGTTTTTAAACAATTTTATCGTCACAAATGTGTTAATCGAGGTTAAACGAGTAAGTTTAAAAATAGAACTATGTGTGAGATAGAGTAGATGCCCCATATACTTTATAAACCTATTATTAATTATAAAAAGTTTGATAAACCTTTTATAAATTAAATATTATATATTGTAATATTAAATTAATAATGTATCTCATATTAATATTAAATTAAAATTAAGTATCTCATATTAATTTTAAATAATTATTATTAACTGATAATTTCAACTAAGGCAAATGTTTACTACTGAGAGTTCACAACTGCTAAAAAAAATTATAAATGTAAAACTTTTGCCATAAGATCGGAAATAAACCTAGGTCGGGGACCTAGACAGCGTCAAAACACGGTCGGATTCGAAACTAACAATCTGGTTTTGTACTAATTCTGATTCAAACTGGGATTTGAACACAGTACCTGTTGAAATCCCAGCTACTAATCACTGTTACGCTTAATCGTTCCGCGAACAAGCATGTACAAGTAGCGTTAAACAATAAAACTAATTACTTCTGCAAATTACTGCATTTACTCGTATATAATTATTAAATAACTCATAACAACATTTCCTACTTTTTGTTGGCTTTCACAATTATAAAACCATTTTAGCTTTTAATTAGTGATTCTCATATAAAATAGTAACTATTCTATTTTTATTTCGTATTGATTAAGAGTTAAATTTCTAGAAAAAATTATGGAAATTAATATAAATTTGGCCTCTCAATACGTTTATGAATGTTTAGTGTGCGTAAACTGTAAATACTAGGAACAGATACAAGCTAGTAGTACCAGTTACTCGACTCCACCGAGTCAGTAATTCATTCTTAGGGCGATGAATACGTTTTTACAACAAAATCCCAGAAAATTTACAAAATTTGACCTGCCCTGCTGGTAAGGGTGATCGCTTCCAAGCTGTTTCCAATTTTTTTTGTTAATTTCAACTTACATAATTGTAAACTGTTGTTTAAAAAAATAGTCCCGCTGGTTTTCTTGCTGATTCTTCTCAGGACAGAGGTCTTTTTTCCGATCCAGGTGTAAATTAAAAAGGTGACTTTCAATATAAAAGTTTCTGTCTCTGTTTGAAATTAATTAAGCTTATATTGATTGATATGCCATTCATACTATTTTTTTAATTATAACTTTTATTCATCTTCAACTTAGAAGATAGGTTAGAACTATTTCGGTTTATCCCCTATGTTGCCACGGTTCGGATCGGTTCGACAAGAGAATGACCACGCTCTCACAGAATAGCAGCGTAAGCGTCGCAGGTAAAAGCTAGTTTGAATTAGTGATCGATGTTTGAAGTAAACATACAAAGCATATTTTACATTCTGCAACAACGATAAAATTTTAAAGGTCGACCGTGTTCATGTTGAATTATATATTTATTTATTATTTATTTTTATTTATTTATTTATTACGAGCGATACTAGTAAGTGACGCGAACCAGTAATAAGCACTGACTAGGATTCATTTATTGGTTAGGTATCAGAGGTGACAACAGGTCTTTAAAAAAAACGTTATTACACTTGGATTTCTTCCTGTATCGTGGAGGCAGTTTACGTACAAAAATTGTACAAGAACAAACATCTAGACGTGGAACAATTTTTTAAAGACAGCCAGTCCCGTTTGTGACGGTGCTGTAATCCGTGAGGTCGAGAATCATAAAAGTTAAAACTAAATGCAATAAAATCTTTCAATTAGTTACCTTCAGTATAAGTTATATTAAAAGATTTGTAGATCGAACAGTCGTTTCGAACGGGATTCGAAACCGCTGCTTAGCACCACAACTTCTTTTTGATTCTCTATTAAGTTTATGTGAAGTCACCATTCTATTTACTATCAGATGCATTTTTGCTTATTTGCCGTCCTTATTTGTATAATAATTCTATTAAGATAACGATAAGTCGGTAACGGAATTCTGCAGTTTTTGATCATATCCTAGACGGCCCCAACCATTGCATCAGATTTAATAGACCACAAATCCTCGCGAAAGAACACCGATTACTACCAAGGATGATACGTGAGGCTATTGAAATTTCTCTTTTGATTTTTCTATTGAAATTGCATCCTAATTTCAATAGAGAAGGAAGCTGGGTACTACCACCTGCTTGGGACCCTATAATCAATAAAATTAAAACTAAACTCAAGCATACCACTGCAAGACCTCAAGACATAGTCAGTTCATTTAGCATAGATCGGACCATAAACAATAATTGAAAAAGCTGAAGGTACTCCGGGTTTAACAATGACATCGGGACGTCAGTCACCTCAGTCCCCCGTGACCATGGCTGCTGGAAAGCACGCGAAACTTCGAGAATTAAAAATAAAAATAATTAAAATTAAACGCGATAAAATCCGCGAAAGTAGTTTTAATCAAGATAACGATTTTAAATAATAGTTATAGATGGGTAAGGTAAAGATACTTGCAGAAAGCAGGTCGCACACCGGCAGAATCAGCCACGCGAGTCCCTCCTTGTCAACTCACGCAATTACTGGGAAATTGCTGTTAGACATTGCGTTATACGGGGGGTTAACTCTTTCCCAACGCCGTGGCAGCTACTTACCTGCATGCGACATCGTTACTGTTAGCTTGAAGATGTATATTATAAACGTTCGCCTTATTGCGCAAAAAGGAAGTGACAAATTTTAGTTGGGGATAGTTTTATGTCGAGTTGGTCATTTGTCATAACCGGATTAGCACACCCATTGACGCATTGTCACGCCTCGCGGGCTTATTAGTGGGTTATGTTGGACACGTATCAAATAAAACTCCATGATACTGCACCTTCGGACCGGCAACGCTTCCGAACAATTTGCACCCTTATGCCCCAAAAACACGAGCACACGGTCCACCATAGTTAAGATATATTAAGATCGATTAAGAATCAAAACGTAGATAATTCGTCGCCCTTGAGGGTTAAGATGGAATGTCTCGTTTCCGGTAACAAATTTCTCCGGTTCCCTACACTCACCATACGAAACACGGCATTAAGCTGCTATTTTACGCTGGTATTCTGTAATAGCTTGATCCTACCCTAGTCAAGCTGACTCATTTATGCTACAACCATAATATAGCTGCAGCGTGGCTCTACCTCGTATTGCTTATATGCTTGCTCCAACGTGAGAGATTGGATAGTTTTTATCCCGATAAGTGATCCTCAATATTTAATCTAATTTGAGGATTTTTATATAGGATGACCCGCATAGAAAAGTCATAACAACATCTGCCTGGCCATCTAGTATCATATAAAAGTGTAATTATTTAGTTACCTTTTGTTCAATTCAAATTTAAAAAAAATTTAAACAAACAAATTTACAACCACGAATAGTTTACTATAGCAACGATTTTAAAGCTATGGTAACAAAAACCGATTTTTCATAAATATTATATATATGCAGGCATTATAGTGAACAAACTTAGTCTGCAAAGTTACTTTTCGCGTGATAAAACATTATAATAAGGACATTGACTTTTCAGCATATTTTATTTTTAGTTGCGCATGGCACAGCCACATTTTACGGAGACATCAACAGAT